TTGATGAAAAAAAATATTACCAGAAATAGATTTTTGACAAAACAAAAATATTACCAGAAAAAATTAAAAATTTGTCGGCATTAAATGACCCATTGAGGTGTTGATATGCCGTAAAATACAACGAACCAAACCAAACATACAGGATAAATTTAATTTATAAGTTTAATTTATATTGTAAAGGATATTGCCTGTTAAGTTATTTTTTCAGCAATATTTAATATAATTGCAACACTATAAGCTTTTTTTTTTGGCATTGGGGTGTGTAAAAGCCCCAGAGGACTATCCATTTTTGGAAATCAGAGGTGAGTGGCGCAGGGTTAATGAAGTTGCTTCATCGACGTGATTAATGTCTATTAATTTTATGTAATAGATTTTTGTTCCTTTCTGCCATAAAACAGTGCTGGGTGACCACGGCGGTATAATAGTATTTATCCCCGAAATTGTTTAAATCTGTGAATGTTATCAGACTTTAAAGGTACCTTGTAGATTGGACAATTTTAAGAGACTGGTTGTTGTTTTTTTTTTTTTTTCTTGTGGTATGCCAATCGACACAGCTGCCGAATAAGAAAGGCGAGCGTATCATGAGTTGTCTTATATTTTTCTTGGAGCGCCCAGAATGTAATAATGCCATGATAAGATGACAAATAGCAGACATGATTCTGTGTTACCAAAATTATTTTGAGACGTACTCGTGTTTTCATCATCTTTCTTTTGATTGTGTTGAAAAATATAATTATGTTAGAGTGGCAAGGAATTTGACGGTGCTCTGAAGTAGAAAATGGTTCCTAGTTCGGACTCTTACTGGTTTTTTTCATGAAGAAATTGTTAAAAAAATAGGGAAAACAAAAAACAAATGAGAAGAAAAGATAATGAACGAAAATGGAGAAGAGGAAAATGAAAGGAAGAATGAAGAAAATAAAGAAAAAAAAATGATAAAAAAGAAAAAAAACAAGAAAGAGGATATAAAGAAAGAGAGAATACGAAAAAAAATATAGAAAGAAAAAAAAAAGCCGGGAATGGCAAAGAAATTGATGGTGTCATGCAGTAGAGAATGGTTCCTTGTTGGAATATTTTTTTACCATTTTCCTGAGATCGCTCTTTCGTCTCCCGCCGGCTGATGCCAAAGAGAGTCATCCAAAAATCTGAAATCAGGAAAGCAGAGATGTCACGTGGGATGACGTAATTGGCAAAATTCTCAGGCGGCAGTTGGCTTTGTTTTGCAGTGTAAAACTGCATTTTCGAATCTCTTATTAATCGTAAATATATTCGATTTGGTCCTTCGTTTCTCCTCTTGGGTTGTCTTAAAAGCAAGTGTTTGTCTTTACCTGGGCGTTTGCTGTGTGCCATTCCATCTATTTTTCTTTACGTTCATTACGAGTTCCTCGTCTAGATTTGTCAACTATTTGACCATCTCTCACCTTGCCTACTTTGGCATTCAGGTCTTCCATAATGATTGTAATTTCCTGCGATTTGCACTGTGAAGTAAAACGTTTCATTTTCTTCCTCTGTGCTGCTGGTGCATATGCAAGTACCAATGCATATATAAAAAAGTATTCCTTTTCAGTTTAACTACAAGAATCCTATCAGATAATGCTAGGCCACAAAAATCTCCTGAGCCGACCAAGCATAGAAATGAATACAATATGAAAAACAGTAATAAGGAGTGTCAGAGAAAAGCGATAATAACAACAAAAATTGTAATATGAAAAAGGTAAAAATATGAGAGATGACAGCAAAAATTGCAATATGAGCACCGATAAAAACTTATGGTAAGACATTAGCTTTATAATACACAGAAATTCACGCACAGATGTCCTCAAGGACACATGACACAATGAATAAAGTTTAGATAAAAGTTAGATCCAGTGAGAGGACCCAAAGAGTGTGAGTTCAATACTTGGTTAAGGCGGTGGAGAACGTGGAGAGGGGAATTAACAGAAAATAACTGATATCCATTAGATATGGCAAGTGGAATTAAAACAGTCTACCCCAGTGAGCGAAATAAAGGGTTCAGTTCGACATTCCCACCACCCCGAAGAAGGCCGGAGCGTACAACGGCCGAAATTCGAACTCATTAGTGTGTCTTAATAAGATATATATATATATGTGTGTGAAGAAAAATATATACGGAAAAAACAAGCAAAAATCCTTATATACAATTATGCTGTTTTAATGTTAATATGTCAACGTCGGACGTTTCGGTCTAATAAACCATCTTCAGAACATATTCATAAAATATAATTAACATTATCAATTCAACATGACAAAGACGATGTACATAAGAACAAGACTTATCCAAACGTCCGACGTTGACATATTAACATTAAAACAGTATAATTGTATATAAGGATTTTTGTTTGTTTTTTCCGTATATATTTTTCTTCATACTGTCGTATCTATATCCATGTATTTGCTTACATATACACGTACGTGTGTGTGTGTGTGTGTGTGTGTGTAAAGGAGAAGTTATAGTTATTTCAACGAAAGAAAAGTGCATATTTTAAAGATTTTTTTGGTTTTCATGTGTATTTTATAATATATATTATACTTTATTTTCCATATTTTTGCTACACGGGTTTCGAGTCTTGCGACTTTCATCAGGCGAAGAGTGGTTATTGTCTATATTATTTAAAGGAATTAATTTTTTTATGTTTTCCGATGTGTAACCATTGACATTGTGTATAGCAGTACTACTATACAAAACCTGAAAAACGTGTAGCATAATTATGGAAAATAACGCATAATATATTGTTAAAAAATCTACATTAAAACCAAACCAAAAAGTTTGCGGCTTCTCTCTTCTCTTTAATATATATATATATATATATATATATATATATATATATATGTTTGTGTGTGTGTATAACGGCTGCTGCTGCTTTAATGCATCGCTCTTCGTAAGAATTGAACGGTATGATAGCCTTTACGGTGTTTATATAGCACATATATAATGCGTTAAAAGTATTTTTCTTTTTGCCGTGCGCCGATAGCCTAGGGTAAAATCTCTGACCGATGTCAAATCGGTCGAGTTTTGATCCCGGCTTAAAGCAATCGGATGTCTACTACACAGATGAGCTGTGATACTGCAAAACAGGCTCTCTCTCTCTCTCTCTCTCTATCTATCTATCTATCTATATATATATATATATATATATATATATATATATATATATATATATGTAGGTTGTTTCAGAAATGTATACACATTTTGAAGGTTTCTCAAGACATAATTCAAGATACTGGAACCAACTATATCTAACTTAATGAAGATTTTGTCATCGCATGTTTTTAAATTCATGTCCATTACGATGCAGACATTGCTGATAGCACGACGCAATGGAATCACAAACAACAATCAGCATTTTGATAGGTTTCACGGACTCTCTGAAAACTTTCCATGACAGTTTCTTTCTTTCGGACCGACTTGACGTTGGTGTTGTAGATCCGGATCTTGTTGTAAAGTGAGAAGGTTGTTGACCTCCATATTGGCCGCAGTGTGTTGAAAGCGTGTTGGGCTTTGGTGCATGCTCTTAAGATTTTGTCATCACATGTTTTCAAACTAATGTCCCTTTTGATCCAGACATTGCTGACAACGCAATGAAACCACAAGAAGCATGCAAAATATTGATAGGTTTCTTGGACGTCTGTGACAACTTTCCATCACCCTATCTTGCTTTACAGGGCGTGGTTGATATCCACGATCACCCGTAACGGTTCTTGTTCACATCGTGTTGAGTACAATCAGCTTGGAATTTAGCTCTAATTCGTGAGATTGTAAGCCGCGTGGGTGGATAGGAACGAAACTCTCTTCAGCCTTTGAACTTCAACTGCATTTCAGGATGAACTTTCTTGGTTTCTAAGCCTGGATGACATTAGTAATACTAATACTGACCTTTGATCTTGTAATTGCACTACTTTTTAAGCAGGATTTTTTGTTGCTGTTCAAAAGCACGCCGCCATCTTTCCGTCCGACACGTGTTGAGTTCAGTTTCGAGAAAAGGATTTTTGGCTTTCAAAATTAGGATGCGATAGAAATCTCAGAACGTTGTTGACTTGATGTTTCTCAAGAAATAATTCATGCCACTAGAACCAACTATATCTAATTTAAAATTTAAAATATGAAGATTTTGTCATCGCATGTTTTCAAATTGATGTCCATTACGATCCAGACATTGCTGACAATGCATTGAAATCACAAGAAATATTTAACATTTCGATAGGTTTCTTGGACATCTGTGACAATTTTCCATCACCCTTTCTTGCTTCACAGGGCGTGGTTGATATATCTAATTTAAATAATGCATATGAAGATGTTGTCATGTTTTCAAATTAATGCCCGTTATGATTCAGACATTGTTGACAACACGACGCAATTTGAATCACAAGATGCAACCAAGATTTCGATCAGTATTTGACTGCATTTTTAGTTTATGGAAACATTCTCATTTCAGAGATTGTTGCTGGCTTTGTAGCGTAGGGTGTCATATGCCCTAGTCGACGAATGGGTTTATAAGGCGATCATACACCGACAAGAAGATATATACATTATCCCACCTGTGGAGAGATACAGGATATCTCTCTCAGATCATGACAATGGACAATTAGTAAACAAAAAATATTTTAAAGAAAACTGAACAGTAATCTTTTCCCAGGTTCACTTCCGTTTCAACACGAATACTGATCCAAAATTCAAGGATGAATGATAGGGTGTAGTGAATTTTCATATAAGAACTTTAATATGTACAGATATAAAAAATATTAAAATAAAAGAAAATATAAGCATGAGTAAAACATCCGACGACCAGATTTCAAAACTTATGTTGGGATATCAAAATATGCCTAACTCCAAATGGATTCGACTGAACGCCAACGGATAAAAAATATAAGTGTGAATAACTACGAATGCAGAAATCAACACATAACCAAAAGAGATGGGATACGAGTTACATATTATTATTTTGACATGTGGAAACGTGTTTGTAAGAACATAATATTTATGGATGCATGTGTATCTTTCTAACACGGGTCCAAAATATATAATTACTTATCTTTATATTCAGTTCTCTTTTTTTATCATTGTCCTTTCTTTTCTCTTTCACGTTTCCTCTTTTCTTTCCCTTTTTTTTTCTTGCCACGAATACGATTTCACACACTGTCCAGCTGTAACAGAGATATACACTTTCTTCCTCTCTCTGGTTTTCCTTTTTCTTTCTTTCTTTCTTTCTTCTTCTGTATACAGTTCAGTCTCAAACACGATTCAACTGCAACAGGGATATACACTTTCTTCCTCTCTCTGGTTTTCTCTTTTTTTCAAACGCAGGCTGTATTCTCAGCGTCCAAATTCCTTTGCGTCTTCTGTGATAAACAACGCGAGTTATCGTCTTCAATTTGGGGTTATCGAACAGAAATACATGTTCTTATACTTCTTGTCCGGAGTTGCCTGGGATGAATCGGACAAGTTCCATTATTATCAAATGAGTCTCATCTTTCCGTTCATAAGTTATCAGCGCTTCAATTCCGAGTCTTGCTCCTTCAAAGACAAGACAGCAACTGACTCCCAAGTAATTTTCTAACTCTCACGTGTCCTGCGTTTTGGCGCGAATTCCAGCTTACATTAGTCCCCTGTCTAGCTTCTGTCTAGACATCTGTTGCTACAGGTAATTGGGTCAGTCAACCTCTTGACTTGCTTTCCCAAAATGTCTCAAGACTTCCACGTGACCTTTTCTGTTGTCAGGCGGATCTTAACCTTAATATATGCGTGTATGCGTGTTTGGGCTATCTGCGTCCGTCACAAGGGTTTATCTTTTAATTATCCACAGAAGAAAAAAAAAAAAAACGTCTAAGCGGTAAGGTCCGTTGAACTCGGAAATCCGACAGAACCTCATTTTCCGATCCATGTGTTTGGCAAGGTTGATTTCAGACATCGGAACGGTGATATAAACTGTTCAACAGTCAAACTCCTCGCCTCAGCGGAGAGGAACCCGGACGAGCCTTTGCCGTTTATACGGGTTCGAAGGATATATTTTTGGTCGAGCCTATTGGCTCGGAGAACCCACGCTAAACCGGCCTTGTGCTACATACGACCCACGTGGGGAGGGGGCGTTAAATATAACGATTGCACCATAGACAGTTACATGGTTAATTTTAGTGTGTTCACACTTCTTTAAATACCCTGTATATACAATTTTCTCTTGTATAATTCGACAATATAAAGTCTACTGTGAAACTGACCAATTCCAGTTGATATTAGAATGGGCTACGTACTTAGTCCATATAGCTATATTCGCAAATATTGTCTTTAAAATGGTATAACAACCTTAACAACCTACCCTGGTTTTACGCCTCGGATCTTCAGTATGGTTTGGTTAGTAATATGTCTGAAATCTTTGCGTCTTCAAAAACAATTATCTAAGAGTTTTAATGTTAATATTATGACTACATATATGTAATATATCTGTAATATGCATGTTTCAGTGTTATGTCTGTTTTATCGTTTTTAAAATATCGCGCCGTCACGCGTAAGTTTGTGTTATTTTTTTTTTCCTTTTCTTTTTTGAGCTATGCTATATTTAGCTTGTTCTAAGAATTGGTAATCGCTGACGAAATCGAATGAAATCCTACATTATTTTGGTTCTGAAATAGTTTCAATAGTTTCAAATATAAACAACATAAATATTTCATTCGTCGTTAAACAAAATTTATACATACTACATATCTGTAAAAATGAGATGTCAGTGTTATTTTCTTTTTTACGTAATTTACACCTATCACACCCTGTATATATATATATATATATATATATATATATATATACACACACACACACGTATATATATATATATATATATATATATATATATATATATATATATATATATACGTACGTGGGCTTTGTATGTTTAGACATCAAGTTAGAAATGAGATAGATATAAACAAACATATATGACATAGATAAATAGATAGATAGATAGATAGATAGATTGATTGATTGAGAGAAATAAATGTGTAAAAATAAAAAAATGACATGATAAATAAACATAAAAATGACATGAGGAAAGAAACATTGATAGATAGATATAAGATATGAACAGACTAAAGATAGATAGATAGATAGATAGATATGAACAGACTAAGATAGACAGATAGATAGATAGATAGATAGATAGATAGATTGATTGAGAGACAAATGTGTAGAAATAATGTGTGATAAATATATAAAAATGGACACGAGGAGAGAAACATTGAGATAGATAGAAGCATGCCGAGAAAGATAGATAGATAGATAGATAGATAGATAGATAGATAGATATGAACAGACTAAGATAGATAGATAGATAGATAGATAGATAGATAAACGAACCAGCTAGATAGATAGATAGATAGATAGATATGTAGATATAGGACTTATAGACATGGGCATTTTCATGAAGAATGGGAAGCGTGACGAATGGAAGAAAGCAGAAATGGAGTAGAAAGGTTAAACCAAATGGCAGCGGTGGTGGGGGTGACAGAAAATGGAGTTAGAGAGAGAGAGTGTGTGTGTGTGAGTGAGTGAGTGAGAGAGAGAGAGAGAGAGAGAGAGAGAGAGAGAGAGAGAGAGAGAGCTGCAAAAATCTGCTCCCCTTCAATATGGAGGGGATGGATGCGTGGCATGCAGCTGTTGTTGACGGCACAAATAGTTTCTTTCTTGGAGACCATATGATGGATGGCACCCTCTCTGCACAACAACTACCCTGTATCTCCCACCCCCGCGCGTTTTTTTTTCCACAACCCCACTCTCTTTACCTACCTCGCTCATCCCTAACGTCTTAGCAAATCCAAGACCTCGTCCGCACTGTGCAATCTTGCCGTCGCCTCCACGAGCAGTCTTCCACCGCCCTTAATACTAATACCCTCGTCATTCTCTCATGCCCAACTGGCTTGTCTGAAATTAACTATTTCATTCGACATTGCTGACATAGTTTTCTTCGGGGAGTTTTTATTTATCTTTTTTTTTTTCTTTTTTTTAAGGCTTCTCCCTCACGCTAACAGCAAACAGAAAAGACTCGAGACAAAGACACGAACATATTACCCGACGCTCACCTCTCTCCCCGATTTTGCAACACGTACGCCTCAGACTCTACCCGCTGCATCCCCAAACTTTTTTTTTTTTTTTTTTACTCCAGACCCGGTCTCTTCCCTTCCACCCAGCATGCATCGTACACCCGACACCATTCTTATTTATCCCTTTCTCTTTGGTTTAATTTCTCTTGAAAGAGGAACTATATAGACAAAGAAACTAGAAAATTGCAGACAATAAATAAATAAAAAGGAAAATAAAATAAAATATTATAAATAGATACACTGTAAAAAAAGGCACTTATTCCTGTTTACATATTCAAGCCTGGCCTTGAAAATACATAATTAAATTCATACATCTGTCTATATTTCTGAGATGAGGTATTATGTACACTATTTACATTATTCGGAATATTGTCCTCATCTTTGTCGTCATATTTATTACAACGTTTCGGCCTTTCAGTATCTGTCTATATTTCTGAGATGAGGTATTATGTAAACTATTTACATTATTCGGAATATTGTCCTCATCTTTGTCGTCATATTTATTACAACGTTTCGGCCTTTCAGTATCTGTCTATATATCTGAGATGAGGTATTATGTACACTATTTACATTATTCGGAATATTGTCCTAATCTTTGTCGCCATATTTATTACAACGTTTCGGCCCTTCAGTATCTGTCTATATTTCTGAGATGAGGTGTTATGTACACTATTTACATTATTCGGACTATTGTCCTTATCTTTGTTGCCATATTTATTACAACGTTTCAGCCATTCAGTATCTGTCTATATTTCTGAGATGAGGTATTATGCACACTATTTACATTATTCGGACTATTGTCCTCATCTTTGTCGCCATATTTATTACAACGTTTCGGCCTTTCAGTATTTGTCTATATTTCTGAGATGAGGTATTATGTACACTATTTACATTATTCGGACTATTATTCTCATCTCTGTCGCCATATATATTACAACGTTTCGGTCGTTGTAGGCTCCGGCCTTTTTCAGGTGGTTGGAATGACGAACTGAACCCTTTATTTCGCTCACTAGGGTAGGCTGTTCTAGTTCCACGTGCCTCAAGGACACATGGCACAGTAGATGAAAGCGTTAGTTAGATCCAGTGAAAGGGCCCAAAGAGTGTGAGTTCAATACCCGGCTAAGTCAGTGGAGAATTTGGAGAGGGGAATTAACATGAGATAACTGAAAATTGACATCCATTAAAACCCCAGTGAACGAAATAAAGGCTTCAGTTCGACATTCCAAATACCTGAAGAAGGCCGGAGCGTACAACGACCGAAACGTTGGAATAAATATAGCGACAATGATGAGGACAATAATCCGAATAATGTGAATAGTGTTAATTCATAGATATTTTTAGCCTGCGTGTAGTACAGATTTTAAAAGCAAGCTAAAGTACGGCTTCCTCGAGAGGACACTAATAGATTGTGTAGCACGAATCTACCAACAGGGGCCTGGCTGCCTAACTAACCGTCTGAGAAAATTAGTATACAAAATGGCGGCTTCCACAGACGTTTGAGTAATGCCCGTAAGCACCGGACCCAGACATGATACAATCGTAGTAAAAATAAAATCATTTGATAGACAGATCAGAGTACATACTTAACTGCGCTGTCTGTGCACCCAGCCTGTATTTACAACACTGCTCTCTTTTCTCATTATATATACATACATACATACATACACACACACACACACACACACACACACACACATATATATATATATATATATATATATATATATATATATATATATATATATATATATATATATATGATAGCTGGCCACTCGTATTCGAGGATGTTCGTCTATTAAACCGGCTAGCCAATCCCTATTGCAGATGCTCGCTTAGATCCATTTGTGTCTGTCCAACCTGTGCTTTATACTTCAACTATGATGGGCAGATATTAGGTACAGTTTCTGGGAGAGAGCGTGTTATTTAGCATGATCAACGATCTGAACTACGCCAGTGGACTCCAACCCTCATTCACGCCGACTTCGTTCTAGCACAGCTATCGACGACCCCCAAGTGTTCCGTCTACCCAATTTCACTCACAAGTCGTGGGTCAACCTGCGGTATATATATATATATATATATATATATATATATATATATATATATATATATATATATACCCTTGAGCGCTTAGCCCTGGAACGGGTAGAATGGAGATTAACGTGTTGTAGTGGACTCAGCTATTTTCAGTCTGATTGTCTGAATCATTTTCAAGAAGCGAGAGCAAGATCTAAAAGATCAGCCAATCTAACTAAATTTGATCTTCAAAATTTTAAATGCATTGTACCTACTGTCATCATTATTAATCTTCTGTTATTTTTCTCGGTCGTTAATTTTTTTTATTATTCTTTTACGTTCAGTAACACCTTATAGCTTAGTGGCTTTATTGCCCTGCTTAGAGTGACATCATTAAAAAGAACTAAGAAGAAGAAAACTTCAGAGTATTGAAGAGTAAGATTTAGAGTACGATTAAGATTAAAATATTAAGATTATGATTAAGAGAAAGATTAATATTAAGAGTAAGATTAAAAGATTTAGATTAGGAGTAAGATTAAAAGATTAAGATTAAGAGTAAGATTAAACGATTAAGATTAAGAGTAAGAGTAAAAGATTAAGAGTAATAGTAAAAGATTAATAGTAAGATTAAGAATAAGATTAAGAGTAAGATTAAGATTAAAAATTAAGATTAAGATTTAGATAATGTATAAGAGTAAGAGTAAGATTAGTCTTGATTGTAATCTCTGTTTATCCATAAAAATTGCGGATTTTACCAATTCTTAAGACATGGTACTCTCATATTTGTTTGAAATCAGAATTTTCCTTTTCTTAAACTGGAATTTAATTTATTATAACATCTATCTTTATTGTTCTATTTCCTCTGTAAATGTTTCTTCGTCTAATTTTTTCATCCTCAGTGGCCTCTTCTGTCTTAGAGGCTTTAGCGCCTTTCTCAGGATGAAATGATAAAAAAGGCGATAATAGGAGATGCTCTGTTAATCTTAAGATCCATTGTTACTGCTAGTTCCATAATAACCTTCGTTGGCAGAGGTTGGGCTAGAGAATTCTGTGAGAAGTACCTCGAATACCACGCCCTGTGAACTGCATTTTTAAGAAAGGTTATTGGGTTAGGTCTGCAGTTAAGAAAATACATTTCTCCAGATATTTAAACAAATCAGGGAGCATTAAAAATGGAACACAATTTTATAAATAATTTGTTGGGTTGGAGGATAACCTTCGAACCTTATCTAATTCTGCTATGCACCCCCTGCTCCTAAAGTCTATATTAATCAATAACTTTCCCTTCCTTCTTTTAATAAGATGACATTCACACACTGGCATATACACTAACAAGACCTACGAACACATACGCATACACAAGCAACATATATATTTGGCCTTGTGCCACATTTAAGCTACGTTTAGAAACTGGGACAGTTTGACGCAGTGTAATGGTTAACAAATCTGTCTCGCTAGATCGATTATAACTGAGTAGTGAATTCGATCCTCATTGGGGGCTTCAGACATTTGACCTTGTGCCACATCTAAGCTACGCTTAGGAAATCGTCGGGGCAGTTTGACGCAGTCTAATGGTTAACAAACCTATCTCGCTAGATCAATTATGACTCGATAAGAAGTTTGATCCTCACTAGGTGCCCTATATTTTCGGCCTTATGCCGTATCTAAGCTACGTTTAGAATACCACGAGGCACTTCGACGTGGTGTAATGCTTATCAAACTTGACTAGATCAATTACAGCTGAATATTAAATTTGATCGTCTTTGGGTGCTCTATGCTTTTTGCCTTGTGCCACACAGGACCGGGTAGAAATCCACCACTGCCAACACATAGACTGCCATGAGGGGCAACAGCTAATACAATAGAAACATATGTTTTCGATCAAGGGCCTGATCATGTTATTAACGAGGAAGGTTTAGAGAAAATGAAAACAAAATGGGCACTTATAATCAGAAAGTTGCAATTGAAATTTCTATGTGAAAAGACGGCTCAGAGAATTTGACATTAGCAGGACATATTGACGGCAAGAATTCGGAGATAGAATAAAACAGCGAATAATCTCCCCACCGAGCCTATGCAAATGGTTGGAAGAAAAAAAAAAGGATTAGGAGAAATAGCAAAAAGATAAATACAAAGGACGTTGTGGAGAGCCATGATCACCAATGTCCTGAAAGGGACATAGAACACAGAAAAAGAAAAACAGTTATACGGGGAGGAAAACACTTTTTTTTCATTCTACCTTTTCTTCTTTCTCTCTCACTCTCTCTCTCTCTCACACACACACACACACACACACACACACACACACACACGCACACACACATATATATATGCACACACAAACACACAAATCCGCCCCATACACCCACACAAGCATACATGCACAAATCCATAAATATCTCGGGACACTATTATGTCAACAAGGGTCTGTGGCTAATCCCTGGGAGAGAGCCTATAATCTTGCGTGATCAGCAGTTCGAACAACTCCGGTACGCTCAAATGCTCGGTCACGACGAGTGTGTGATCTTGGCAGGCTAGCACAATCATTTACGACAGTTTGGTCTACCCAATGTTGCTCA